ATGAGCATATCCAATAGATAATCAAATTTATTTAAAATACATTTTAAATATGGTCAAAGGCACAAGGATAAAATAAAGAATTTTAATCATTTTTAAGAGAGAAAGAGAACACATTTGAAGATGAGACTATTTGGCAACAGCTTAATATGTTAATCCACAAATGATGCTATAGATGCTGTATATATATTTTTAAAATAGACCTTGATAGACCAAATAACATACTTCTTTGGCATTTAATATGGAAATGATATTCCATCGTGAACTCATTATTTCCCTTCACTTTGAATAGTACTGAAATTCAGTATTAATGTTAAAGCTTCTGAAACATGGTAAAATTTGTCCAAAACAGATAGTTCAATTCCTAAATTAAAAAAACCAATAAACTGGAAGTTCCTTGATTCACCTTTTGATTGTTAGGTATTTTTCAGTAATAAAAATGGGAACATTAACAATTCTATTAAGACATGGAGTTAGTAAATTAATGTAAAATCCTTTGAGCCAAAAAGGGGTTAGTGGCATATAATAATATAAAATTATTTAAGAGGAAGATTATATTTAATATAGAGACACATTCAGATCAAATAAATTCAATAATCACAAAAAACATAGCTTGTAAGATCAAATTATCTTGTTTAAACCCATAGTATAAGGTTGATTATAGGAGTATTTTTAAAAGTATGCTTCTGTTTCTGAAGATTGAAAAGCTGTTACAGAATATAACTGAAATTGAGTAACACTGGTTGTTATGATTCATAACTAGTGATGACTTATTAAAGCATCAACCTGGTAAACTCCAATGAGACTAAGAGAAGAGTAGGCCCATGTACCACAGGGGCTCACCACTAGTTGGAAAGATAAGGCTAACAACAGTTTTTATATACACTGCTGCTACTATGACAATAGTTGTCCTTACAGTTTTAAGGATATAAGTCATATTTATCTTGGTCACCAGTGCCTGGCACCCTCAATGGATTTATACAAATACACTAAAAGTATTAGGAGATATACCTAAATAAATATAGCCAAACCAAATTAAGTAATGTCATTATAAAGTGTTAAGAAAATGTTATATAATAAACACCATTCATTTATAATTGTAAAGATCTGCAAATGTACCATGGACACAGTGGTGATAAACTCAGGCCTTAAAAACAAAGCTTGTGAGGAATCCAACGGGGAGCACTGGAAGAAAGCAGGGGTCCAACAGAAGAGAACATGCAAAATTTCAAAGCATGGAAAATGGAAATCACCAGTCATGAAATAATGCCAAAGACTGGTCTAAAACAGAACTGTGTGTGTGTTAGGGAAGCTGGGTACAATCATTCTTCTGAAGGCCACAGGGAATTACAGGTTTTAGATTATGCAAATAGCAAGGCTATAAATTTGCATTGAGAAGAGTGACTAGTCAGTAACACATGAAGTGGATGTGGAAAGATACTAGATCCTAAAACAGCAATTAAACAAGTAAGAGGCTGCCAGGAGGCAAAAAGTAATGGAAAAAGCAGTAAAACGGAAATAGAACAGATAAATGTAAGAAAATTACATAGAATGACCCCCTGATTTGTATTTAAAAATACAAAATATATATCCTTGGGGGCTGGGGATTTAGCTCAGCGGCACAGCGCCTGCCTGGCAAGAGCGAGGCCGTGAGTTTGATTCCCGGTACCAGAAAAAAACAAACAAAAAAAATCGCCGCTCCCCCAAAATAAATAAATAAATAAACACACACACACACACACACACACACACACACACACATCCTTATCTACTCTTAACTCCCTTTATTACCTCACTTGTAGTCAGAGACAATAATTTACTTAACTTAGAATACTGCACTAGACTCCTAGCTGCTATCCACCTTCCCTTCTTACATCCATATTGAGCCTGCTGCAAAGCAGCCAGAAGTATCTTGTTAGACATCATGCCCCTGGTTCAATATCCTCCAACAACTTCCACTGCAACTGAAATAAAATCCGTATTTCTTGCTATGTTCCACAAGACAGATTGGCCTTTGCCCTCTGCTCAGATTTCTGTCTTTACGCCACTTGGTTCTGCCTCCGCCACCTGCCTTTAATTTCGTTCTTCTCAACACAGTTCATTTTTGCTGAGGGAGCTTGTACTAGCTATTTTCTCTGCCAGGAATGTTCTTCTAGATCTTCACATGGCCCACCTTCAAAAATTTTCTGTATCTCTGCTCAAATGCTATTTTCTCTGATGTCTTCTCTGGTCTCTCTTCCCAAAATAGTTTTCTCTCTAGCTATTCTACCTCTATCTTACTCTTCAGAATAATTATTACCTCAACAATTGCTCTTTAACTGTATATGCATGTTGTCTCACTCTTTCCCATCAGAGGAAAATATACATGCTGTGATCGCTGAACTTTGTGTTATTTGCCATTCTAATTTCCTCAAGGCAAAGGTCCAGGCTAGAATACAGCAGACAATAAATGTATGCTTTAAAAACCAAAATATTTATCAGAAGTGTTAATGAACAAGTAACACCGTGTACATTTTTGAGTTGAATTCTTGTTTTATTATCAGTTGCTTTAAACACTGGATTAAAAACATGGATTTTTCCATTATGTAATGCCTTTAAGAGACACAAAGCAGTAAAATTATTCAAGCTATTCAGCTTTTGTGATTAAGCAATTAGGTGGATTTAAAATATGACTAACTGCTTTACCTTAAAGGCTACATTCTTTGCCATAACATTTAGACAGAGAAGGTAAGTAAACTTCCTCTAAACCAGGTGACAGCCACAGGAAATTCTTCAAGGGAAATAGATATGCAATCTTCCCTGTCTACTATGAATAATAGATTCTCCTAGTTGCTGACCCTGAATCTTAGGCTTACAACTTAATTAAAATATATCAGTGGAAATAAGCTTAAAGAAAAAATTAGCTCCGTATGCATTTATGTATCTTGTATTTTTATAAGACAAACACCTAGAAAATATAAAATTAAATGACAACGTAGCTTTCAAGAAATAACTTTGTTATACAATGAAGCAGAAATACTTGAGCTAAGTAAACAAAATGATAAGCAAGCTTTTATTTGGGTTTGCCATCAGGTTAATTCTCCCCTCTTGTCTTCTATTTCTTTTAAACAATCTGGTCCTTATGACCTCTGAGAGTGTGACTGCAGCATTTCCACTTAATAACTATGGAGAGATGGATTATCATCAATCTTATTAGACACACCAATCTGAAGCTCTCAGGTTTTAAAAGTTGCGATGTATTTTTCTGAAGAGGAAACTTTACTGTTTGGTTAGCTATATATATCATACATGTTGTTTTTATAAAGTCTGTTTTACTAACAGTGACTAAAGAGAAAATTCCTTCTTTGTTTTATTCAAATATTTATTGTGTGCCTCCTATATGTCAGCATAGTGGTGCTCTACTTTCTGAAAGAGATACTAGAGAAATCAAACACTGCCACCTGACACCTTTGAGAGTATCTTCCCTATAAAAAAATGGGTTATTGTTGGATTAATGGGCTACGCAAGATAACCTACATGATGCCTTACCTTCCAAGCTGTGCCCTACAATTAGTTAAAGTGTGTAGACTAGAACAGTTAACTAGTAATTAGTTAAAGGTTTGTTGAACTTTGAACACATGAGAATTTATGAATTATTTTTAATTTAAAATAGCAACTTTCATCTGGTAGATGGTGTAATTTAATAGCAGTCCATATCATCTAATTATCTAGTGTTTGGGACATGGAAAAGGATGAACGTCAGGAAGCCAGAGGCCTTAACGTTGTAATAGAGTTGCTAAGAGTTGAACTAGCAATGGAACACACAAGTAAAGCCCCAGAAGGTCTTGGGGTATGCAAGCAGACATACTCATGGGTCTGTACATACCCAGTTCATCTAAATATTAGTGATAATATTTATTGACATTTATGTAATGCTTTAAACTGAACACCTATATAATCTCTACCATTACTATACATACTGAGGATCTTCAATACAAAAAAACAAAATATAAACTTTGGAGCATTTACACGATGTTCCAAAAGTTTCTGATTTTGGATGCTGAATTTTTGGATTACAAATGGTCAACTGATAAACTGTATGAAAAATTCTGAAATTTGAAAAAAAATTCAGAAATTGGAAATGCTTCAGGTCTCAAGCATTTTAGATAAGGAATACTCAACTTGGCACTCATTAATCCACAAAAAGCCTGTGAGGTCATTACTAAGCTTATTCCCATTTTACAGAAAAAGAAATTAAGGAGAAAGATGAGGAAAATAATCTTCCCATGACTACAGTATAATTAGCTAGAATTCATTCTGGGGTCTCTGACACAAATTCCATGAACTTCCCACCATATGACTAAGAAAGATGAGATCCAATATATAAAATCTATGGACATTAACTATGTGCTAAATAAGAAAGTGCTCTTTCACATGATAAAAACGGAATAGATTTACAGAGAACCTGCAAATCTAAACAGCTCCAAAAGAAAGAAAAATGAGAAATATAATATTAGCTGTCATTTTAAAAGTAATTTGGCTAGAAAGGGTTAAAATGAATAAATCAATAGGTAAATTTTTCTAGTAGTACCAATATAATGACTACATAACATAGCCTGATCAGATTCATATGACTTCAAATAATTGCTGAACAATATTCTAAATATTATAAAAATAATTTATTTTGAAAACAAAGGAAAGTAGAAACCTGTAATTTAATAAAATAGAATACTTATTATCAAAGTTTGGTGAAAATTCTTTGGTAATAATACAAGTACAATACAGCATTTAATTAAGGCTCC